CAGACAACCCCTAAGAGGGTATTTTGTATGGCTGAATATTGCAAAAACAGAGGGGGGAACGGTGGCAGGACGAATACCGCTCTGCCGCTCCCCATCAGTGCCTCTCTGATGACATCCAGAAGGCCATTCATCAAGGCCAATATAAATATTTCCCCACCAATGGACAGATCCCTAAAAGAGAGCCTGTTCTGAGCCACGTGCCACGCTGGGCCTGATTCATACGCTGAAGAAGGCACCTGACTTTTCTTGGAAGGCATTTCTCTCCCCGAGTTGGTAGATATTTATTAACTATGAACTGTTTGGAAGAAGGCGAGATAAATTATCCTTTGGCTCTGAAAATGCTCGGATAGGCCAAGGATGGTGATATGTTCAGGCTTGGCATCCCATCCAGAGTAATAGCAGGCTCTATAGTACCAGCATCCATCCTCTGCCCAGTATTTATTTGTCGTGTCAGGGCAACCAGTCAATTGTATTACAATTCTAACAGAACAAAACAAACAAACAAACAGACAGACAGACAAAATACAAAATTGGCAGACTTGGTATTCTATTAAATGTCCTTTGACCAGTAGCTGGCAACTTGGAGTGCCTCTGGTGTGGCCGCAAGAAGGTCCTCCGTTGTGCATGTGGCAGGGCTCAGGGTGCATTGCAGCAGGTGGTCTGTAGTTGGCTCTTCTCCACACTCGCATGTCGTGGATTCCACTTTGTGGCCCCATTTCTGAAGGTTGGCTCTGCATCTCGTGGTGCCAGAGCGCAGTCTGTTCAGCGCCTTCCAAGTCGCCCAGTTTTCTGTGTGTCTCTCTTTTGGTATCAGCCATTGGTTGAAGTTCAGTGTTTGAGCCTGCCACTTTTGGACTCTCGCTTGCTGGGGTGTTTCAGCGAGTGTCTCTGTAGATCTTAGAAAACTATTTCTAGATTTAAGTTGTTGACGTGCTGGCTGATACCCAAACAGGGGATGAGCTGGAGATGTCACTGCCTTGGTCCTTTCACTATTGGCTGCTACTTCCCGGCGGATGTCAGGTGGTGCAATACTGGCTAAGCAGTGTAATTTCTCCAGTGGTGTAGGGCGCAGACACCCCGTGATAATGCGGCATGTCTCATTAAGAGTCACATCCACTGTTTTAGCGTGGTGAGATGTGTTCCACACTGGGCATGTGTACTCAGCAGCCAAGTAGCACAGCGCAAGCGCAGATGTCTTCACTGTATCTGGTTGTGATCCCCAGGTTGTGCCAATCAGCTTTCGTATGATATTGTTCCTAGCACCCACTTTTTGCTTGATGTTCAGGCAGTGCTTCTTGTAGGTAAGAGCATGGTCCAGAGTGACTCCCAGGTATTTGGGTGCGCTGCAATGCTCCAGTGGGATTCCTTCCCAGGTGACCTTCAGAGCTCAGGATGCTTGTCTGTTCTTAAGGTGAAAGGCACATATCTGTGTTTTGGATGGGTTGGGGATCAGCTGATTTTCCCTGTAATAGGCAATAAGAGCACCTAGAGCTTTGGAAAGCTTCTGTTCTACCATCTCAAAGCTCCCTGCTTGAGCAGTGATGGCATGATCATCTGCATAGATGAAGCTCTCTGTGCCTTCTGGCAGTGGCTGGTCATTTGGGTAAATGTTGAACATGTATGGAGCAAGCATGCTCCCCTGAGGCAGGCCGTTCTTCTGTTTCCACCATCTGCTTCTCTGGCCCTGGATCTCAACAAAAAAGCTCCTGTTTTGTAGCAGATTTCCTATGAGGCAGGTGAGGTGGTAGTCCTTTGTGATACTATACATTTTTTTCTCAGGAGGAGGTAGTGGTTTACAGTCTCATAAGCTGCTGACAGGTCTATGAAGACAGCTCCTGTGATCTGCTGCCTTTCAAAGCCATCTTCTATGTGCTGAGTCAGGTTCAGCACTTGCGATGTGCAGCTTTTGCCTTTCCTGAAGCCAGCTTGCTGTGGAATCAGACAGTGGTCTATTTCTTCCATAATTCTATGCAAAATAAGTCTCTCCAGAACTTTGTAGAGGTGGCACAACAGGCAGATTGGTCTATAGCTTTTTGGATCATTACGGTCTTTGCCTGGCTTCAAGATGGCGATGACTCTTGCTTTCCTCCAGATTTTGGGGATCTGACAGGATGCAGTGCAGTTGTTCATCAGCTCGAGCAGCCAGCGCCTTGCTTTTGGGCCAAAGTTCTTGATTTGTTCCATCCGTAGATCATGACGGTTTTTGCCTGGCCTTCAATGACCTGAAGGTTTACAAATCCAAGAGAAAGTAGAAGAGGCAGAAAGAGAGATCCTTCAGTCCCTACCCATGTGCTACACTACAGGCTCTCTTTTGACTTTTGGAAACATAGGAACTTTTACTTGTTACCTTCCAAGGTGACTCTGAGGTAAGGCCATGTTTGAACATGTGAATTATAATATTGACACAAGGACAAACATGGAACAATCGAAGAAGGAACAGTGGGAGGTTGTGCTATTTTACCAAGTCAGAGTAATTCAGTTCCTCCAGAGTGGCAGAGGAACAAAATGGAGTAACTCAACAGCAAAAGGAACTGAAGCTTTCAAGCCAGGCAGAAAGATCTAAGCAAGGAGGGGATAAGTGTTTCTCAACCTTCCTAATGCCGCGACCCCTTAATACAGTTCCTCATGTTGTGGTGACCCCCAACCATAACATTATTTTCATTGCTATTTCATAATTTTTCTACTGTTATGAATCGTAATGTAAATATCTGATATGCAGGATGTATTGCCATTCATTGGACCAAATTTGGCACAAATACCCAATACACCCAAATTTGAATATGAGATTGGCAGGGTTGATTTTGTCATTTGGGAGTTGTAGTTGCTGGGATTTATAGTTCACCTACAACCAAAGAGCATTATGAACTCAACCAACAATGGAATTGAACCAAACTTGGCACACAGAACTCCCATGATCAACAGAAAATTCCGGAAGGGTTAAGTGAGCATTGATATTGAGGTTGGGAGTTGTAGTTCACCTATATTCAGAGCACACTGTGGACTCCAATAATGATGGATCTAAACCAAACTTGGCACAAATACTCAATAGGCCCAAATGTGAACACTGGTGGAGTTTGGGGAAAATAGACCTTGACCTTTGGGAGTTGTAGTTGCTGGGATTTATAGTGCGCCTACAATCATAGAGCATTATGAACTCCACCAAGGATAGGATTGAACCAAACTTGGAACACAGAACTCCCATAACTAACAGAAAATACTGGAAGGGTTAGGTGAGCATTGATCTTGAGTTTGGGAGTTGTAGTTCACCTACATTCAGAGAGGACTATGGACTCAAACAATGATGGATCAGGACCAAACTTGGCATGAAAACTCAGTATGCCCTGGTGGAGTTTGGGGGAAATAGACCTTGGCATTTGGGAGTTGTAGTTGCTGGGATTGATAGTTCACCTACAATCAAAGAGCATTCTGAACTCCACCAGTGATGGAATATAATATAATATAATATAATATAATATAATATAATATAATATAATATAATATAATATAATACATTGTATATACATATAATATTTGTAATATTATAATGCAATACAATATAATACTAATAATAATAATATGAAGTATAATTATATATTTTATATTACATGTAATATTACTAATAATATTGTTATATAATGGAATAGTATGAATAGTAATATATAATACTGATATTGTACTATGCTAATAATATACAGTATATTCTGGCGTATAAGACTACTTTTTAACCCAAGAAAATCTTCTCAAAAGTCAGGGGTCGTCTTATACGCGGGTGTAGTCTTATGCATGGGAGTTGTCTTAACTCTATATTTTAACTGGAAAAGTTGGGGGTCGTCTTATACGCCGTCTTATATGCCGGAATATACGGTAATATATTGTGTGTGTATGTGTGTGTGTGTGTGTATACTAGCCGTCCCCTGCCACGCGTTGCTGTGGCCCACAAGGGGGTTGTGTGTGGGAGGTTTGGCCCAATGCTATCGTTGGTGGGGTTTAAAATGCTCTGTGATTGTAGGTGAACTATAAATCCCAGCAACTACAACTCCCAAATGTCAAGATTCTATTTTCCCCAAACTCCATCTGTGTTCACATTTGGGCATACTGAGTATTCGTGTAGAGTTTGGTCCATATCCATCATTGTTTGAATCCACAGTGTTCTCTGGATGGAGGTGAACTACAATTCCCGAACTCAAGGTCAATGCCCACCAAACCCTTTCAGTATTTTCTGTTGGTCATGGGAGTTCTGTGTGCCAAGTTTGGTGCAATTCCATCGTTGGTGGGGTTCAGAATGCTCTGTGATTGTAGGTGAACGATAAATCCCAGTAACTACAGCTCCCAAATGTCAAGGTCTATTTCCCCCAAACTCCATCTGTGTTCATATTTGAGCGTATTGAGTGCTTGTGCCAAGTTTGAGTCCACAGTGCTCTCTGGATGTAGGTGAACTACAACTCCCAAACTCAAGGTCAATGCCCTCCAAACCTTTCCAGTATTTTCTGTTGGTCATGGGAGTTCTGTGTGCCAAGTGTGGTTCAACTCCATCGTTGGTGGAGTTCAGACTGCTCTTTGATTGTAGGTGAGCTATAAATCCCAGCAACTACAACTCCCAAATGACAAAATCATAATTTTTTGAGTGATGGCCACTCCTTGTGTTGTGAGACGTTTTGTTGCCAAATTTGGTGTGATTTCGTTCATTGGTTCTTTTGTTTTTAAGCCACTCATTACGACATGAGCATTTATATATATATAATTTGAGAACATTAGTTTCCTTTGATGATCTCAATGGAAAGTGCTCATTATAGACTGGGGTCCTAACACAACAACAACAACAACAACAACAACAGCCCACCTCTTGTCAGGGTTCAAATTGCCACGTGTTAAAATCAGTTTCAGTTATGGACCATTTCATTCTAAAGGGTGATGGCCTTGATGGAAGATCTCTCATTAGATGTGATCTAGTTACGTTCTTCTCTCATAGCTCACTGTTGTTTCCTTTCTTCTCCTTCTAGTTGAAGCCTTTGGCCTTCTTCCTGGAGCACCTTCTTGGATGGTGGCACGCAGAAGATGCCTCACAGTGAGATTATGAACCTCTCCACTTTCCCACTGTCTCCCAATCACACCCAGGAACCTACAATGCCTTCCTCAGGAGGTGGCTACTCCTTATGGGAGATAGCGCTGATCGTTTTAATCACCGGGATCCTCTCCTTGGTCACCGTGGTGGGGAACCTCCTGGTGATGATCTCCTTCAAGGTCAACCGGGAGCTGAAGACCGTCAACAACTACTTCTTGCTCAGCTTAGCTGCTGCCGATCTCATCATTGGCACCATCTCCATGAACCTGTACACAACCTACATCGTCATGGGCCAGTGGGTTATGGGTTCCTTGGCCTGTGACTTGTGGTTGGCCCTGGACTACGTAGCCAGCAACGCCTCTGTCATGAGCCTCTTGCTCATCAGCTTCGACCGCTATTTCTCTATCACCCGGCCTCTCACCTATAGGGCCAAGCGGACCCCCAAGCGGGCTGCGGTGATGATCAGCATTGCATGGCTGATCTCCTTCATCCTCTGGGCCCCGGCCATCTTGTTCTGGCAGAAATTTGTCGGGGAACGGACGGTGGCCGAACACGAGTGCTACATCCAGTTCTTCTCGGAGCCCATCATCACTTTTGGAACCGCCATTGCTGCCTTCTACCTTCCGGTCACCATAATGGTGGTGCTCTACTGGAGGATCTACCAAGAGACACAGAAGCGAGCCAAGGAACTGTGTGGACTCCAGGGCTCAGAATTCAATAAGAACTTAGAGGTGGCATCTAGAACAACCAGGAATGGAGGAAGTGGAAGTAGCAGCAGCTCAGAGCCTTCCCAAGCTCTTGCTCTTTCTTCAGTGGCTGGAGAACGTCCTCTGCAACGGTGCTGCTTTGCTGGGCCAAAAACGGAGGATCTCTACATGGATCAGAGCAGCAATGGCAGCTGGAACACCACCGAGGATGAAGAGGCTGGTGAAGCTTCTGCTGACTCCTTGACGTCGTCTGAAGGTGAGCAGCAGCCTTTCGAGCTCCACAACGTCTGCTCTGCTGTTATTCGTCTCCCCATGATTGGCACCATCATGCAGCCCCCCAAAGAAATGCAGCACAAGGACCCCAAGATGGCAACTGGAATGGACTGGGTGGAAGGCAAGGTCTTTGTCGTGATCCCAAAACAACCTCTAGGCCTGGACAAGAGACTCAAGAAAGTGGCCTTAATGGAGAAGGCCCCAGAAATGGCCAAGAACCAAGTCATGGTGCCAGGCAAGAGGAGGAGGAGGAGGAGGAAGAGGAGGAGCCTCTCCAAGCGGAAAACCCTATCACTGATGAAGGAGAAGAAGGCGGCCCGGACACTCAGCGCGATCCTGTTGGCCTTCCTGATCACTTGGACGCCCTACAACATCATGGTGCTCGTCTCCACCTTCTGCGAGGGGTGCATCCCTCAGAGCCTTTGGGAGCTGGGCTATTGGCTGTGTTACGTCAACAGCACCGTCAACCCCATGTGCTACGCCCTGTGCAACAGGTCCTTCCGCACCACTTTCCGGAGGTTGCTGCTGTGCCGTGGGGGTCAACGCCACTGAAAGAAGGGGTCAAAGAATCAATGGGAAAATGAACAATATTCTGGGCTTAGAACCATGTTGGCAAGCCTAGAACCATGTTGGCAAACCTAGAACCATGGTGGCAAACCTAGACTCATGTTGGCAAGCCTAGAACCATGTTGGCAAGCCTAGAATCACATTGGCAAGCCTAGAATCATGCTGGCAATCCTAGAACCATGGTGGCAAACCTAGACTCACATTGGCAAGCCTAGAACCACGTTGGCAAGCCTAGAGTCATGTTGACAAGCCTAGAACCATGTTGTCAAGCCTAGAATCGCATTGATAAGCCTAGAACCATGTTGGCAAGCCTAGAACCATGTTGATAAGCCTAGAACCGTGTTCAACTTAAACTCGCCCCTTCCTTTGGATAAGTCAGTCTGAATAAGCAAGTATGCACAGACATGTAAGAAATGGAGAAGAGGAAGAGAAGAGATAGGCTATTAACACAACTTCATTCTTGGTGGGCTGCTATGGCCCATTGCTCTACTGCTGTCACCATGATGTTTAGGTTATTGCTTGAAGCGGTTCCAGGAGCAACAAACTGTGGCAAAATGGTGGGAATGTCCCCAAGCCAAGCTTAATATTATCTTTTCTTGCTAACATGCTTGCCAATGTCCTAAGCTGTCAATCGGAACTAAAGATCAAGTTGAAATTCTGGTGGGCCACCATGTTCATCCAGCCATGTTCCTCTCTCAAATCCAACTCTGGATGTACAAGAGATATTTTGGAAGCTCCAGTCCCTTAGAATTATGGATTTGGAAAGGATGTCAACAGCCTTCTAGTCCAACAAATGTGCAGGAAATCCATGACGAAATCATCCCTGGCATTGGTTATCTAACCTTTTTTTCGACCTCCAATGAGACTTCACCACTGAGGCTTTAATGTGGTTTGTAAAGTTTACACCTTCGATTCAGGAAAACTTAGCAATGACTTCTCTGCTTGACATCCTGGAGAGGTACTCTCACTAGTCATGCTTACTCTGCAATAAATTTTATAAATATTGATGTGTTACAAGATCCTTTGTGCCGTTCGCTCATCGACGCAGATTATTCTGGTCTAGTTAATCAATAGGTAAAGGTTTTCCCCGACATTAAGTCTAGTTGTGTCTGACTCTGGGGGTTGGTGCTCATCTCCATTTCTAAGCCGAAGAGCTGGCGTTGTCTGTAGACACCTCCAAGGTCATGCCGCCGACATGACTGTATGGAGCACTTTTTCCTTCCATCAGCGCGGTACCTATTGATTTACTCAAATTTGTCAGAAATATTAAAAATTAGGTATTTTTAATTATGTGAGTCAAGCACTGAAAATGTGAGTCAAGCACAGAAAGGGTTAAATGACTCATCAAAAGCTGCAGTTCAATATAAGCTTAGTAGCCCTCAGTATGAGAGAGGCCTCAGTGTGAGAAAGTCTCAGTGGGAGAAAGGCCTCAGTATGAGAAAGCCTGGTGTGATTTTTTTTTGTCGTGTCAGGAGCGACTTGAGAAACTGCAAGTCGCTTCTGATGTGAGAGAATTGGCCGTCTGCAAGGACGTTGCCCAGGGGACGCAAGGATGATTTGATGTTTTTATCATCCTTGTGGGAGGCTTCTCTCATGTCCCCGCATGAGGAGCTGGAGCTGATAGAGGGAGCTCATCCGCCTCTCCCCGGATTCGAACCTGCGACCTGTCGGTCTTCAGTCCTGCTGGCACAGGGGTTTAACCCACTGCGCCACCAGGGGCTCTGTAGGAATGACTTGAGAAGTGACTTGCAGTTTCTCTCACACCAGAAGCGACTTTCAGTTTCTCAAGTCACTCCCGACTTGCAATTTCTGGTGTGAGAGAATTAGCCGTCTGCAAGGACGTTGCCCAGGGGACGCCCGGATGTTTTGAGGAGCTCTTGGTGGCGCAGTGGGCTAAACCTCTGTGCCGGCAGGACTGAAGACTGACAGGCCGCAGGTTCGAATCCGAGGAGAACATGGATGAGCTCCCTCTGTCAGCTCCAGCTCCTCATGCGGGGACATGAGAGAAGCCTGACGTGATAAGCTTAAGTGGGAGAAGCCCCATCGTGTGTGCAGCTCGTGTGTGAAGGCTGCTGTGTGTAAAGCTACTGTGTAACTTTGGTGTGAGAGGAGGCTCTATGAGAGCAAAGCTGTTTACCTACATGAGAAAGAAGCCCAGCGTGGAAGCAAAGAAGAAAGTATAAAGCACTTTGGGTTGTTGTGAGTTTTCCGGGCTGCATGGCTATGTTCCAGAAGCATTCTCTCCTGATGTTTCGCCTGCATCGGTGGCAGGCATCCTCAGAGGCGAAATGTCAGGAGAGAATGCTTCTGAAAAATGGAAAACTCACAACAACCCAGTGATTCCAGCCATGAAAGTCTACAAAATAAAGAACTTGATTTGTTATAGAAACCTTGTAAGTAGTGCAACCATATTATTCCATTGTAAAGAAAAGCCTATGGAAGAGATAACATTGGTCTGTGGGTTTTTGTTATTTTTATCACTTTTGGCTACTGGTTAGGGTTGGCTACTGGGTCACACTGCTGCTAATAAGTTACTCTGCTGTACATTTATGAGGAGGGTCTTTTGTTAATAAGCCCACCCACCCAACAACATTTGCATGTTTTCAAACTGCTAGGTTGGCAGAAGCTGGGGCTAACAGCGGAAGCTCACCCTGACCTGAGGGTTTGAACTGTCAACCTTTTGGTCAGCAAGTTCAGCAGCTCATCCATTTAATCTGCTGCACCACCAGAGGCTCCCTAATTAATCAAGAGTTCAGCTCAATTTGGGGGAAACACTGCTGGTCACAGCTGACCTCCAACTGGAGCACTCAAGGGCCAGGGCTTCCCAGTTCTCAGTGTCTATGTCAGAGTTTGTAAGGTTGGCTTTGAGCCCATCTTTCAATCTCTTTTCCTGCCCACCAACATTGCGTTTTCTGTTCTTGAGTTCGGAGTAGAGCAACTGCTTTGAGAGACGGTGGTCGGGCATCCAGACAACGTGGCCGGTCCAGCGGAGTTGACGGCGGAGGACCATCGCTTCAATGCTGGTAGTCTTTGCTTCTTCCAGCACGCTGACATTTGTCCGCTTGTCTTCCCAAGAGATTTGCAAGATTTTCCGGAGGCAGCGCTGATGGAATCGTTCTAGGAGTTGCATGTGATGTATCTAGACAGTCCACATCTTGCAGGCGTATAACAGGGTTGGGAGAACAATAGCTTTATAAACAAGCACCTTGGTATCCCTACGAATGTCCCGGTCCTCAAAAACTCTCTGCGTCATTTGGAAAAATGCTGCACTCGCAGAGCTCAGGCGGTGTTGTATTTCAGTGTCAATGTTGACGTCTGTAGACAGTCCATGTCTTGCAGGCGTATAGCAGTGTTGGGAGGACAATAGCTTTATAAACAAGCAATTTGGTATCCTTATGGATGTCCCGGTCCTCAAACACTCTCTGCATCACTTGGAAAAAAGCTGCACTCGCAGAGCTCAGGCGGTGCTGTATTTCAGTGTCAATGTTGACGTCTGTAGACAGTCCACGTCTTGCAGGCGTATAGCAGTGTTGGGACTACAATAGCTTTATAAACAAGCAACTTGGTATTCCTATGGATGTCCTGGTCCTCAAACACTCTCTGCTTCATTCGGAAAACAGTTGCACTTGCAGAGCTCAGGCGGTGTTGTATTTCAGTGTTAATGTTGACGTCTGTAGACAGTCCATGTCTTGGAGGCGTATAGCAGGGTTGGGAGGACAATAGCTTTATAAACAAGGCCCTTGGTCTCCCTATGGTTGTCCCGGTCCTCAAACACTCTGTGTCATTTGGAAAAATGCCGCACTCGCAGAGCTCAGGTGGTGTTGTATTTCAGTGTCAGTGTTGACGTCTGTAGACAGTCCACGTCTTCCAAGCGTATAGCAGGGTTGGGAGGACAATAGCTTTATAAACAAGCAACTTGGTATCCCTACAGATGTCCCGGTTCTCAAGCACTCTCTGCTTCTTCTTTCTTTCTTTCTTTTAATAATCTTTATTGAATTTTCCAAATCTAAAAACATACAGACATACACACATTGCTTACGTGGAAATAATGAAAAGCGGGGAAGGAGGGGGGAAAGAACCCATGCATACTCACATTCCCCCACACAGACATTACACATCTATGCCTACACCCGAACATCCCTAGAAGAGAGAGAGAAAGGAGAGAGGAAGGAGAGAGAAAGGGAAAGAGAAAGAGAAGAAAAAAAAGTGGTGAAAGGTCATGTATACAAAGTTAAAATTTGACTTCCATTTTGTGTCCAAACGGTGTAACTATTTGCAAATTATAGTCTCCCAATTTCTCCTCTTTATTCGAGGATGAGATCCTAATGTCCTTGTGACCCACTGTTCTAATATTATATTTTTTAGACCTCTTTATTACCAGTTTTAGTCAGTTCTTTCTTCAGCTCTTTTTATCATCATCATCATCATCATGATTTAATAACTTATTAATCGCCCTCCATCCGAGAATGCTCTAGGCGATTTACAGCTAAATTATAAAAGATAAAATACATACATACAAAAATTAAAAATCAACAGGGATCAAATGCTCTAGTAAAAAGCCAGGTCTTAAGTGCGAGAGTAAAAGGCCCTAAGTCCCGCATGGCTCTCATATAGGGCGGCAAGGAATTCCACAAGGCAGGGGCAGAAATAGAGAAAGCCCACCTGCGCCTGGTCCTTTCCAAGTGCACTTCTCTAGGACCCGGTATATAGAGTAAGTCACGTTGGGCTGGTCGTTGCAACCTCCGATGATGGGAGAAGGAGAGGCATTCCCTAAGGTACGATGGACCCTGGCCATAAAGAGTTTTAAAGGTCAGAACTAGCATCTTAGACAGGCCACGGTACTCAGTTGGAAGCCAATGCAAATGTTGCAGCACTGGTGTTATATGACATTTCATGGGCGTTCTTGTGAGTAGCCTGGCTGCCGCATTCTGAACAATACGGAGCTTTCGGGTCGTAGACATCGGAAGGCCAACATACAGGGCGTTGCAATAGTCCAGCCTAGACGTGACTGTGGCATGGATGACCGTTGCCAGAGCCTCGTCAGATAGGTAGGGTGCCAGTTGCTTCGCTTGTCATAGATGGAAAAAGGCCTGTTTGCTGGCAGCAGCGACCTGAGCTTCCATTGTCAGCTGCGAATCCAGGGTGACACCTAAGCTCTTAACAGTGGTCGATGGAGACAGGGCGGCACCATCGAAGGTGGGTAATGGAGGAGTCAGACCTGCCGGGCGGCCATGCCAGAGAATCTCAGTCTTCGCCGGGTTCACCTTCAGTCTGCTAGCACGTAGCCAGTTTGACAGAGCTTCCAGACATAGGGTGAAATTGTCTGGAATTGACGTTGCTCCGGGCTCCAGGCGCAGAAGGAGTTGGGTATCGTCTGCATATTGGTAGCAGTCCAGGCCGAAACTCCGAGCCAAACTAGCAAGGGGTCTAACGTAGATGTTGAAGAGGAGAGGAGAGAGAATTGCACCTTGGGGGAACCCACATAGGAGGGGAGATCTATCGGAGACTTGATCCATGTACTCCACACGTTGACTCCGGTTCCGGAGAAATGAGTTGAACCAATTAAGGGCCTGACCACGAACTCCGGACATGGCAAGACGGTGAATCATTAGATCGTAGTCGACGGTATCAAACGCTGTGGTAAGGTCGAGAAGTACCAGTAGCGCGGATCCACCGTTGTCAGACTGGCAACGGAGTTCATCCGTAATGGCAACCAGGACTGTCTCCGTCCCATGACCTGGGTGAAAACCTGACTGGAAAGGGTCCAGGCCAGCTGTGTCATCCAGGAATTGCTGCAATTGTCCCAGTACAGCCCGCTCTATCACCTTGTATTTATCTCATATTCCTCTACTGCTTTCCAGTCCGTTTGTTTCATTGGTTTTCCGGAACTAGCTTTAAGCACTCTCTGCTTCATTCGGAAAAAAGCTGCACTCGCAGAGCTCAGTAAGACAGCACTGTATTCACTTAGAATCTGCATCAAGAAAGGCGGGAGGAAAAGCACAGTGCC